TTCTTTAATTGGATTATTTGCTTTTTGTTTGTTGAGGTGTGTGAGCTCTTTATATATTTTGGATGTCAACCCTTTATCAGATCTGTCATTTATGAATATACTCTCCCATACTGTAGGATGCCTTTTTGTACTATTGGGGTGTCCTTTGCTGTACAGAAGCTTTTCAGCTTGATATAGTCCCACCTGTTCATTTTTGCCTTTGTTTCCCTTGCCCGGGGAAATATGTTCATGAAGAAGTCACTCACGTTTATGTCCATGAGATTTTTGCCTATGTTTTTCTAAGAGTTTTATGGTTTCATGACTTACATTCAGATCTTTGATCCATTTCGAATTTACTTTTGTGTATGGGGTTAGACAATGATCCAGTTTCATTCTCTTACATGTAGCTGTCCAGTTCTGCCAACACCAGCTGTTGAAGAGGCTGTCATTTCCCCATTGTATGTCCATGGCTCCTTTATCACATATTAATTGACCAGATATGTTTGGGTTAATATGTGGACTCTCTATCCTGTTCTACTGGTCTGTGGGTCTGTTATTATGCCAGTACCAAATTGTCTTGATTACTATGGCTTTGTAGTAGAGCTTGAAGTTGGGAAGCAAGATCCCACCTGCTTTATTCTTCCTTCTCAGGATTGCTTTGGCTATTTGGGATCTTTTGTGGTTCCATATGAATTTTAAAACTAATTGTTTCAGTTCTCTGAAGAAGGCTGTCGGTATTTTGATAGGGATTGCATCGAATCTGTATATTGCTTTGGGCAGGATGGCCATTTTGACAATATTAATTCTTCCCAGCCAAGAGCATGGGGTGAGTTTCCATTTGTTAGTGTCCTCTTTAATTTCTCTTAGGAGCGTCTTGTAGTTTTCAGTGTATAGGTCTTTCACTTCTCGGTTAGGTTTATTCCTAGGTATTTTATTCTTTTTGATACAACTGTGAATGGAATTTTTTTTCCTGATTTCTCTTTCTGCTAGTTCATCGTTAATGTATAGGAATGCAACAGATTTCTGTGTATTAATTTTGTATCCTGCAACTTTCCCGAATTCAGATATTTGTTCTAGTAGTTTTGGAGTGGAGTCTTTAGGGATTTTATGTACAATATCATGTGATCTGCAAATAGTGACAGTTTGAATTCTTCTTTACCAATCTGGATGCCTTGTATTTATTTTGTCTGATTGCCATGGTTAGGACCTCCAGTACTATGTTGAATAACGGGGGGAAGAGTGGGCATCCCTGTCTTGTTCCTGATCTTAGAGGAAAGGCTTTCAGCTTCTTGCTGTTAAGTATGATGTTGGCTGTGGGTTTATCATATATGGCCTTTATTATGTTGAGGTACTTGCTCTCTATACCCATTTTGTTGAGAGTTTTTATCTTGAATGGATGTTGAATTTTGTCGAATGCTTTTTCAGCATCTATGGAGATGATCATGTGGTTTTTATTCTTCTTTTTGTTGATGTGTGGATTATGCTGATGGATTTTCAAATGTTGTACCATCCTACCTAAGCTTTTGCAGTGAAAATATTTAAGAACTGGGTAATTTCTTTTAAATGTATGCAAAATTAAATAAGACCAAAATGAGTCTGCTTCTATTTCATTAGCATACTAAAATACAACTTGCCAGTTAATGGTGATAATACATTTGAACACAAAATTGGGTCAAATAAGAAAAAAAAAACTTACAGAAAAAACTTGATGTCCTGATTTTAGCCTGTCACTTTTAGGCTGAAAATCATTCAGTGAGAATTTCAGAAAAACAGGAAGGAGGAATCTCTGATCTTCCCTCAGTTCTCCCTAAGAAAGCCCTGACATACACAGTGTTAGATCTACTAAGAGTGGGGTTCTTGTCTATTTCAGGGTCTGCCTCTGCCAAGGAAACAAAAGGTACAGACTCCTGGGTCCACTCCACTCCTCAGGGGACCCTGACCTGCTTTAGGGACAGCCCCAGCAGGCAGGACTAGGATCCTCACAAAAGCCTCCATGGTCACCTCTGCTTTAGCTGAACCAACTGCCCGGCCCACCTTCCTTCTCTCATGTTTTCTTAGGAAGAAGTTCACACAATAAAATATCAAAATAATGCAACAAAACAAGGGAAATACATACACTGAACATAACTGATTTTAAAACTTTGGTAAAAATATCAGAAATTTATACCAAAATGAATACAATGTTATGATTCACACATCAATCCACATGTAATCAAGGACTCTGACAGTCGTGTTATATAGAAGAAAGAAAATCACTGTATGGAAAAATGGAAAATTTTAAGAAGTAAATTTTAAATTTAAGGATTCCACAAAATATATCTTTAAAAAAGAAAAAGGCCAGAAAATACATTTTAAAGAAATTATTACATACTTGGTAAATACAGTACATCCAAATGGTAATATCAGCATTAGATAAGATATGGAGAATTGGGCATGCTATATACACTGAATGCAGTAGAAATAATGAAAGTTGCTGGGGATCAGTTTACTCCCAGGTTACATATGGTTCAGTCTAGTGCAGAAGACTCACTTATCCATGAGGGATACATTTTAATGTTCCCAGTGGATGCCTGAAACCACAGATAATACCAAACCCTACGTATACTATGTTTTCTCCTATACATACAAACCGATGATAACGTTTAATTTACAAATAAGGCACAGTAAGAGATTAACAACTAATAATAAAATAGAGCAATTATAATAGCATACTGTAATAAAAGTTATGTCAGTGTCTCTCTCAAATATCTTACTGCACTGGATTCACCGTTCTTCCTGTGATCATATGAAATAATAAAATACCTATGTGATGAGATGAAGTGAGGTGAATGAGGTAGGCATTGTGAGATAGTGTTAGGCTACCACTGACCTTATGACATTAAGTCAGAAGGAAGACCATCTGCTTCCGGACCATGGTTGTCCACAAGTAACTGAAACCATGGAAAGCAAAATAGCAGGTATGGGGAAATTACTGTAATTCTACTCTGTACAAATATCCTGAGAAAAAGTAATTTTTATAAATATGTGAAGAACAAATGTAGCCTAAATGCACAATATCAATTTAAGAATAATTATAACCAATAGAAAAATACATAGCTATTGAAAATGACAAAGAAGTAAACTGCAGGTAACACTGTAGAGTGAAAAAACAAAACCCTAAATACTATGTACTACTGTTTATAGACTTATAAAAACACATGATTAATGAAATTCTTCAGAGCTATTAAAGATAATGATGTAAATCTATCCTTTTAGAAATGACAATGTAACAGTGATATATAAAGGGGGAAACTAGTAACAGAAGAAAATATATGTGATGCTAGTTATGTAAAAATTCCCTATCTCTGTGTTCTTTTATCCAGACAGAAATGTTAAGAAACATGTTCACTAAAATATAATAAAAGGTTTTCTCATCATTTAGGGATGTTTCTTACAGCAAATAAAAACTATGAAACTATTTTCATTTTGGCACCCTATAATAGCAAAGATCAGAGAAAATTAAAAATGTTTCTGAGTTTTAAGGATACTTTCTCTTTCTCTCTCACACACACACATGTGAAGGCTTCAAAATGACAAAATAATCAGCCACCTTGAAAACTATGTATGAGAACTGGTGCCATCAGGTGGCAGTTCCAACTCTCTCTCATTAGCTCAGGTCTCAGGCCATTCAAGACACACCATGAAGCAAAGGCAATGGAACAGTTTCCTCCTGAAGCCCCATGATTTTAGCATAGAGGCACGACCGTTTTCTTTAAAGGGCCACATAGTAAATATTTTAAACTTTGCAAGTCTATGGTCACCACTACTCTGTCACTGTGGTGTGAAAGCAGCCATAAACAAAACTTAAATAAATTGATCACAGCTGTTTTCCAATAAAACTTCATGGACAATGAACTCTGAATTTGATATAATTTTCACATCACTACATATTGGGTCTTTCAATAATTCATTTTCCAACTATTTAAAAATCTAAGAACGAAAGGCAGTTTGGCAGTTCCTTAAAAAGTCAAACATGGAGTTACCACATGACAGCAGTTCCACTCATAGGCTTTATGCCCAAGAGAAATGAACACACAAACCCAAATGACTTATACATGACTGTTGATAGCTATGTTATTCATAATATGTAAAAAATGGAAACAACCCAACTGCCTATCAACTGATCAATGGGTAAACTGTCATATGTCCATTTTGGCACCATATAAAAGAGTATTATTCAGCCATAAAAAGGAATGAAATATTGAGACATAATACAACATGGGTGAACCTTGAAAACATGCTAAGTGAAAAAAGCCAGACACAAAAGGCCACATATTAAAAGTCCAGTAAGGCAAATCAATAGAGACAAGTTAGTGGTGACAGGAGGCTCTGAGGAGGGGGGAATGAGGAGTAACTACTAATGAGCACAGGGTTTCTTTTTTCTTTAGGGTAATAAAAATATTCTGGAATTAGATAGTGGTTATGGTTGCACAACCTTGTGAACATACTAAAACAACTGATTTATATGCTTGAAAATGGTGAATTTTGTAGTATATTAATTAAATCTCTTTTTTAAAAAATGTAGAAAATTTAGCTCACAGGCCACATAAAAACAGACTACAGGCTGGTTTTGGCCAGGGGGCTATAGTCTGCCATCCTTGTTCTAGCATCTAATAGAGAAGATGGCTTTGGGTTTTATACACACCATAAACTAGAACATAGCCAAAGACAAAAACTTTAAAGAAACTGAACCAAGACTGAAAAAATTATCTGATAATTAGATAACGTTATGAAAAAATGGAAAGTCAACGAGCCTCTTTAACTCTTGCTTTAATTTTAACTCTTTAACTTTAACTTTTGCGCATTGCCACCAGACCCACAAAGTTACTCTGAGAGTGGACAAAACTCAAGCTGACTGGTGGGGGCAAAAAGCAAGTGTTACATAAAGCACAACTTTTAAATACCAGTCCCCACTCTATCATGTCAAAATCCTTTTAAAATGTAATTAAGCTAATTTAGAAATGCATTTACTAGCAAATTACCTGGAGGCACTAGCTGTATTAATTCAAACCTGGTTAAGAAGCCTAAAAAGGAAAAAATAAGACTTTAATACTTCAGAAATTGCCAGGGTTTTTCATTAATTGTTAAGTTTAAAACTGCCATAACATCCCATTTACTTTATTAATAATACTAATAAGTACCATACCAACAATGACTCAGGTATTTCTAGACTCAAAAAATCAAGGGCACAGAATGAGAGTAAGTGACTTATAAAAATAGCATTTCAGCCCTGAAAAGTATTGACAAAACAGGTGCAATATTTTCTCTCTTAAAAATGCATTCATAAATCACTCAAACACTTAGCAATAAACTTTTAATTTCAAAAATTCAAAATACAATTGTCACCCATTAACCTATAAATGTTTGTTTGGCTTCAAACAGTGTGCTATATAACAATATAAATTAGACACAAAATATAACATTTTTTTAACAACTAAATATGAAAATTTCTGAATCTAAAATATGTTTATAAATAGTGAACCCATTTACAATGTCTATAGAACAAGAAAAAAACTCAAATCTTAAAAATAATCAATAAAGATAATTCCTACAAAATCTTAAAAGTGAAACATTTAAAAATAGACACTAATGGTGATATACAGTTAATAATACTGTATTATATACTTAAAAGTTGCTAAGAGAATAGGTCTTAAATATTCTCACCACAAAAAATAAGTGGTAATTATGTGATGTGATGGAAGCGTTAGCCAACTCTATATTGGTAATCATTTTGCAATGTATGTGTATCAAATCTGCATGTTGTACATCTTAAACTTGTACAATGTTATATGTCAATTATATCTCAAAATATCTAGAGAAAATATACAGTAAAAGTAAAATTCTCCCTTATAGACTAATGCAAAATGTATGAATGTATGAGGACTGATTTTTAAATGCCAAGAACCTTAAATACCAAGACAGCCCATAATTTTAGGTTTTCCAACGATCATCCCAATGGTAATGCTAGGCACTTAGTTTGTCTCAGGCTCTACATTCCTTACATTCAATTAATTCTCATCACATCCCACATTCATGGATTAGAAGACTTAATATTGTTAAAATAGCAATATTCTCCAAATTGAACTATATGTTCAATGCAATCTTTATCAACATCCTAACTGGCCTCTTTGTAGAAAAATGACAAGCTGGTGCTAAACTTCATATGGACAACTAAGGAAATCCAAATAGCAAAAACAGTCTTGAAAAAGCAGAACTAAGCTGGAGGACTCACATTTCCTGATTTCAAAACTTACTAAAAACCTACAACAATCAAAATTGTATAGTATTGGCATAATGATAGACATATGGATCAAAATGAAAATAGAATTGAGAGCTCAAAACTCAGCCCTAACATGTAGAATCAATTGATTTTCAACAAAGATGCTAAGACCATTCAGTGGGGAAGAGATACTCTTATCAATAAATGGTGCTGAGGCAACTGGATATTCAGATGCGAAAGAATGAAGTTGGATTCCTACTTCGTGACATTTTTTAAAAATTTAATACATGTCATAGAACTAAATATAAGAGCTAAAACTAGAAAATTCTTAGAAAAAACCATGGACCTAAATCTCTGTGACTTGAATAAGGCCATGGTTTCTTAGTTACGACATTATAAACACAAGTTAGCAAAAATAGAGCTCACCCAAATTAAAAACTTCGGTGTTTCAAAGAATATCACCAAGAAAGTAAAAAGACAATCCAAAGGATGGGTGAAAATATTTGTCAATCATACATTTATGGGACTTGTATCTATAACATATAAACTTACAACTCAATAATAAAAAGACAAATAACCCAATTAAAATATAAGTAAAGAATCTGAATAGACATTTCTCCAAAAGAGATATACAGATGGCCAATACACACATGAAAAAATGTTTAACATCATTAGCTATCAGAGAAATGCAAATCAAAACCACAATAACATATCACTTCACACCCACAAGGATGGCTACCAATCGAAAGGTTAGATAATTAACAAGTGTTAGCCAGAATTTGGAGAAATGGAACTCTCAGACATTGCTGGTGGAATGTAAGATAATGCAGCTGCTAGATAGTAAACGGTATAGAAATTCCTCAAAAGTTTAAAGAGTTACCATATGACCCAAAAGTTCCACTCCCAGGTACATACCCAAAAGAAACAAAAATATATGTCCATTAAAAAAAACTTGCACATAAATATAGCAGCATTATTTATCACAGCCTTGATGTGGGAAAAAACCCAAATGTTCATCAACTACTAAATGAATAAACAAAATGTGGTATATCCATACAATGGAACACTATTTGGCCATAAGAAGAAATGAAGTACTGACATATACTATAGTAAGGATGAACCTTGAAAATGTTACAATAACTGAAAGAAACCAGTCACAAAGGACCACATATTATGTAATCCCATTTATATGAAATATCCAGAACAAGCAAATTTATACAGACAGAAAGATTAATTAGTAGTTGCCTAGGGCTGGGAGGGATAAGAAAGAATGAGTATAGAGATTTTTTCTATAGTGATGAAAATGTTCTAAAATTATCCTGATGGTTACACAACTCTGTGAGTATACAAAAACCATTTAATTGTAATAAGCAAACAGAATTGTACCATCCAGTAAACCTTATCAATATCTAAAAAAGTGTTTATAATAGAATTAAAAATGTGATTCAGATTCTACATAGACTCTCTTGAATAAAATATGGACCAAACATGGAAGTATTGCAACTTAGAAAATAGTAGAATTTTATATCTGTGAATTACATACACAGAATTTTTTTTTAAGAGTACCTACTTTCCAAAATGTCTGCTACAGCTCCAGGATCTATTGCATTTTCAAATACCTGCAGGAAAAAAATATGGGGAAAATAAAATTTCAATGTTTCATTAATATATAACTACAGAAACTGTAAATAATACTCTTCCAAATAATTAACACATGTCAAATCCAGCCACATACTATTTTATGGCTCAACAGGAGTACCTTTAACAGGTATGTAGTTAAAAGTCCAGTAAGTGACTATAGAATAAATGAATGAGAATTAACACACATTGAGTACAAGGAAAATCTTAGCTGAATCTAAGCTAAATCTCAGCTAAATCTACCACCTACTCAAAATATCATCAACTTGGCCTAGCCCTATACAGTTTGCTGCTAAAACTCATCTGGTGTCCACCTCAGTGAGTCTTGTTTGAGTACCTAGAAAACATTCTGCATACCACAAATATCCATTAAATGTCGTTAAATTAATTATTTCTCTTCCCAAGCAGTTGGCTGTGCTACAAAGAAACATAAATAAAAATTCTATATGTAACACAAAAGAAGAGCTGAGTACTAGTGGCTCCACTCCCACAGAACCCAAAAATGACTAGAAAGATGGAGAACAAAGTTTTTAAGTGTATCATGAAGCACAATAAAAACTGCAATACCTGTCTAGCCAAATTTACTTAATTTATTCTTGAGATAAAAGGGTCTGGATAGAACTGAAATACAAGGCATCCCAAGCTCCTCTCCCTGAACTCTAAAACCATGCAAGAAATAAAAGTTTTCAGCATAGTTCGATTTTAGGCATTAAGGTTCTGATTTAAATGGTTTCTAAATTTAAACATGGTTAAAATCTGCTCTTGATCCAAAGCCAGGTTTAACTACAAAAATGGAGACTGCCCCCTGTAACCCATTTTTTGTCTTATTGACTTGGATTTATTAAGCAAATGTGGGTGAGGTTTTTCTCCCTGAATTATTTCAGTATAACTGCATCTCTTTGCTTCATCCATGTCTAAGGATTTTCTCAAGTACAGTCCTAGGGAGTAAAGGGATCAACCTGATGTGCTCAAACACAACAGTTCATATATTCTTTATGATTTATGATGAGTATTTTCTTATTTATCCAAATGCTTTAGAACATTCCATTTTGAATTACTCAGAGGGTCCAATGAAGAGAAAATGTTTTTGCTGCTTGCTGCAAGTATTTGTAGCTAGAGAACAGAACACATACAAGAAAGTTAGAACCAACTGGACAAAAGCTGGAATATGAACCCGAACAGCTCACACAAAAGAGCAATTTTTCAAGATTTTAAATAACTGCACTTATAAAATGAAAAATGGTCTATGATTACATTTGACTAGTAAGCTCAAATGCACAACTTTGCAAAAGAGCAGCAATGGCATCTAGAGTGTGACCCTAAGGTCACCCCCCTCCTTCTACAAGCCAAGGAGGTGGGACTAGATGACCTCCAAGGTCATTTACAGATTTATCATTCTGTGCCTCTACAATTTTGTGTCCTTGGGCTTCTCAAAAATAGACTTTTAAAGTCTTCTTCAGGAGCAAACTTTAAATCGATAAAACTAGTAGGGAACTTCTTAGGGAAAAAATAGATTGGATTTTCACTACCTGGTTTTTGTCACTACCAACATCTAAGTGATAGAAGTAGGTTCCTTTGGATTCTTAATGTATGTTCCAAGGTTATATCCATTTGTTCCTCTCCTTATCCAACCAGTTCAGTAGATTCTATTTAAATGAACAAGCTGTGATTTATAAACATACTCTATACAGTGCTAGCCCTTTAGAAAACCAATCCTCACCTCTCCCATTCTCACGTAAAAAAAAAGGCAGGTCATTGCTGGACTACCACCCAAACCTTTAAAAGTTATAGGCTTTACCCTTTAGCCTCCCTATACTCGTCTCCTCCCCAATAAAACCACCTCAGTGATATTGTTTGGGGCAGAATCATTAAGCTTATCAAGGCTAAAACTGATGTCATCGCTGGATTCAAAAAAAAATGCCTCAGAAGATTGACAGCAATGACATAATAATGAAATTAATATTCTAAACTAAAGTGGGAAGAATGTTGGTAGTGTTCTGACTCCATCGTGTCACATTCATAGGAATTCTAGCCTTCAACATTGTAGCTAAATAAATCAGGTAGGACCTAAGAAAACTCAATAAATATTAAGACTTCTTTTTGTTACAGGATGTCAGAACCAGGATTTAACTAATTTGTTATAGTTTTTCATTATATTTCTGAGTCTAAAAAGTTTATTTCTAAGGTCCACTAGTTTATTGATAATCCCAGTCATAAACGTAATGTAAATGGCCTCTAACACTTTTAAAAACGTTCCGAAAATGCTCTCTCTGCTCCAGTTAGAAAATGCCATGGGAGTTCCAAGAATAGAAAACATCGACCAGGGTATTTAGCACTAGGTTGACAGAACTTGGCTCAGACCTGGGATGCAAAAGTCAGTACTCGAATAACAGTTTTGCACTGTGCTGAGGTAATTTTTAAAGTAAATTTATACAAGTTTTATAAGTGTTCTAAGAACCATTAAGTAATGTTTAGACAGCAAAACTTAAATTTCTCTACTTAACAATGAGAAAGTCAAAATCACCTTTTCAAATCTCATGTTCTGCTGAATCATAATAGGGAACACGGAGGGAAAGCAGTTTGTCTCCAGGTACTGACTCAGAAGGTAAACTCCAAGGTACACATCTTGCTTGCCAGGAAGGAACACTCCTGGGCAAGAAATCTTAAAAACAAAGGAGAAAAAAATGGAGAACAGCATTTGTTTCGTTTTTTGACGGGGCTCTATTTTCCTTAACCTCCCATAGACAAAGTCAAATTTCCACCCCATCGCACCTCTCACCTGTGTCTCCCATAACACCCTCCCCTCTCCTCTCCCTCAAGATGGAAAGCCCAGCTTCCTCCACGTCTCCGTCTCCGCCAGGTGTCACGGTCGTCCTCTCGCGGGCTCCTGTCCCCGCCCCTCTAGGATAGCAGTGCGGAAGCGGAAGAGGCTGCAGTGCCGGGAAGCCGCTCCTTAGGCCGGCCGGCTCCTGGGGTCCGGGCCCCGCCGCAATGCCCAGCCCCCGGAGGAACGTCGAGGGACGCCCGCTGGGCGCCTCCGCCTCAAGCAGCGGCAGCCCCGGCAGCCCGGCCCACGGCGGCGGCGGCAGGTTCGAGTTCCAGTCACTGCTCAGCAGCCGCGCGCCGGGCGCGGACCCCACCTGCGCCCGGCTGCGCGCGTCCGAGAGCCCGGTGCACCGCCGCGGGTCGTATCCCTTGGCTGCGGCGGGCTCCTCGCAGACGCCGCCGCCCCCGCCGTCCGAGGAGGACTGCTTGGACCTGAACCCGTCCTTCCTGGGCATCGCCCTGCGCTCCCTGCTGGCCATTGACCTCTGGCTGTCCAAGAAGCTAGGGGTGTGCGCCGAGGAGCGCTCGTCCTGGGGTAGCGTGCGGCCCCTCATGAAGCTGCTGGAGATCTCGGGTCACGGTATCCCCTGGCTGCTGGGCACCCTCTATTGCCTGTACAAGAGCGACAGCTGGGCCGGGCGCGAGGTGCTTATGAACTTGCTCTTTGCCCTGCTGTTGGACCTGCTGCTCGTGTCCCTGATCAAAGGGTTGGTCCGCAGGCGCCGTCCGGCCCACAACCAAATGGACATGTTTGTCACCTTCTCGGTGGACAAGTACTCCTTCCCCTCGGGCCATGCCACCAGGGCTGCGCTGGTGGCACGGTTTATCCTGAACCACCTAGTGCTGGCCATTCCGCTAAGGGTGCTGGTGGTACTGTGGGCCCTCATCTTGGGCCACTCCAGGGTCATGCTGGGGAGGCACAATGTGTCCGACGTGGCTTTTGGCTTTCTTCTGGGCTACATGCAGTACATTATCGTGAACTATTGCTGGCTTTCACCGCACAATGCTGCCGTGCTCTTTGTACTGTGGAACCAACAATGACACCATTTCATTAGTTACGGCACCACCGAGAGAGATCTGAAGCTTTCCACATGTGGTGATGCGGACGTAAACCAGTAGCCATCCTGCTTGACCCTCTAAGGACATTTCAGGCTTCCTTCGGGATTTTAGGTGTCCTACCATCTTGATGGGTTGCTAGGCTGGAGCACCATGCTGGCTGTTAACTGATCACAGCCATATTATAGAGAGCAAAAAAAAAATCCCTCTATTATGTAGTTATTCAACAACTGTTTATATCTCCAGGAGAACTGCAAAGAAACCAAGCTGGGGTGATTATAATGTTGCTGTTTCTTGAAGTTGACATCAGTAAATTTTGTGTTTTGTAGTAATCCCGTGAGTCAACATACCACTTGTAAATTGAACACTGAAAATAAGAATGTGATCTTCATTCTGTAAATATACATGCAACTGAGCCATGTATTTAGTCCTAGTTCTTTTCCTGAGGTAGATTTTAAACAGTATTTTAAAAGCCTAACACATGGGTGTTTCTAATTTATTCCCTGAGGATCTGTTGCCACAGTTGGGGTGATGTCTTAATACTGATTTTTTTTGGTAAGCTTTTTTGGTTCCTTGTCCCTTTCATCTTTGCAGATTGGATAGTGAGATTATAGTACATATATTTCTCTCCTTTGCCTCTACCTCCTCAAAGGATTTTTTAGACACTTATTTCCCAGTACTCTCTAGTATTGATTTATTGCATTCAGAGAACAAGCCAAGAACTTACTTGAAGAAGAAACATTTAAAGTTGGACATATCTGTGGTACCCATAGGAAAGGAAAGATGGAACTATGGCCTCATGCTTAATTCTGTTGACAATAAATAGCATGGCATGACAGAGGGCTGAAAAGCTGTTTTTGAGGAAGTCAGAGGACATGAGTCTCGTGCTAGGCTGACCACATTTTATGTCAATGGACCAGTAAGGCAGGAGATGGGACCATGCTGCCCATCATCTCTACTGAATAAATAATAGTGCTCCTCTGCTGAGGCAATAAAACGAGAAAGCAGTTTGATTCTTTGCAATGCAAGAGCATAAGGTTTCTCATATATACCACAAGGATGACCCTGTATATTATAGTTTTCCAAATGAAATTACACTTCCCTGCATATAGCACACTTTAGGTCAAAGTATTTAACTTGAAATTCATTAGGAGGAGCCTATATTGTTATACCAGGCACAAGGTATAACTAACTCCTAAATTTCCATTTACATTGACCTTTACATTTAAAGCAGTTTATCCATGGTGCCTCCCCAAATCACAAGACCGAAGGCCACCAAGTGCAGGGTGCACTCTGCTCATTATTATTTGACCAGGAAAGACCAAAGGGTATGCTTTAAATACTGCTCTATCTGAAAATAAGAACCTTTAAATTACCTGTGGAAATGGTGTCTTCAGATAATCTTACTGACCAATTATTTTGACATTTATAAACAGGATTATAGCCATTGATATAGAGGTGTACATAGGAATCTGGAGAATGGCTATGACAAGTAGATGGGGTGAAAGGGTAAACTTTCTTGAGTCTGAGAGGGACACTGAAAGAGGAACAAATATTCTTCAAAATAAAATCATTTGCATCCCCACATCCTGAACATAGTCTTACCTCGTCACTTGCTGAATTAGCCAAACTGTGAAGCTCTAAATAGTTTGCTTTACTATTTAACCTTAGAGAGATTCTTTAACTGCAGAAATATTCAGGCCAGATATTTGGAAGCAATGATATTTCCACTTGCTGAATCAGCCAAACTGTGAAGCTCTAAGTGGTTTGCTTTACTATTTAACCTTAGATTCTTTAACTGTAGAAGCAATGATATTTCCTCTTGCAGTGTCCACAAGCCTGAATATTAAGGACTCGAAATTAGGCTCACCTTTTGGTTCCTGGTTATACTTTGGAGCTCCCTGTCTTAACTGCTGGGGCCTGGGTGTGCTGGCTTTTAAAGATAAATCAAGTCACCTGATGTTTTTGGAGAAAACTAAGTACTGTAGAGTAGAAAACTAATTTCACCTGTACACTGACAAATGCCTTTTAAAAATCAAGATAAAATTAACTAGTAATATTGAAGGAAATAGATGAAAACGTGTTTGATATTTGCCTTCATGAAGAGGAAGACCGATTTACCACTCAGCTTCTCAAAGGTCCTTCATCTTACTGCACAATTTTGATATTGTCTGGTCCTATTTGCTGCCAGCAAAGTGGAACAAACCCAAGAAACTTTGATCTTTGTTACAGTGCTGTATGTATGATGAAACCACAGTACTCCTCACTTCGATGGAGGTTAACCAGATTTTGCACAGCCATAACCTAACAGCACTGGGCTTGTAATCACCGCCAGCAGAGAAGCCTCCATAATTTGGAGGCAAAGCTGCTGACAGTCTATTACTAACTATGGATAGAACTGTAGGATTTGGGGCAAGGACGGAGGTTCGTGAAGCTCTCTTACCGCCCGGATTTGCAGTTCCACTACCACCTCCAGAGGCATCCTCCCCTGCGTCGGCGAAAGGACTGGAATGAAAAAAATCCTTTTGTGCTGAGCTTTAGGCTGATTTTTCTTACTTTAGCTCAATGCGTAAGTAATGTTCCCAGCAGCTTCCCCAGCCCCCACCCTCTGGTGCCCCAATCCGTCTCCACCGGCCCCAGCCCAGATCCCTCCCACTTGAACCGGACTCACACTGCGGCAGCTGAATCCGAGGCTCCCAGAAGGCGGAGGCGTCGCGTTGCCATGGACACTCAAACGCTCAACCTTCCACCCTGGAACGCGAGCGGGGCCCCCGCGAAGGCGTGCGCGTCGCCTGAGGTGCGAGACGGCGGAGGGAGAATAACCCTGACCTGCGGAAGCGGCCGGATCTCGACACGCTAGAAGCACTAGTTTCCTTTCCGCCCACCCTTCAAATCCAATCTCTTTATGGCCCCAATAGCTATTTTAAATGTTACAGTGACCATTCTAAAAGTGGAGTGTAATCATAGACTCATTACAATTTTTAGTAGCTCTACACCCCCAAAGCCCTGGAATTTCTGTAACAATTCCTGATTAATATAGTAGCCTGTCCCTAAAGGTACTCCTCATGTTTGATTTGGATAACGTGACCACTGTCAGTAAGAAATTAAACGTGTTTGCTAATTAGAAATACAAGAATAGTTCTTAAAGAGATTTCAAAGTTAGATATCATATTCCGTGTTAGCCAAAATAGAAATATTTAACAGTCTCTCTAGGGTTTAATTAATGTAAGGCAAGCATGAATTACATTATTTCCCAATGGGTAGTTACTGTAGTTGCCAAGTCAGGGTCACACTGTAAAAACTGTCAGAGGTGGCAGGCAGAGCAAGATTTCTTAACGGAAGGGAAAATTTAGTTTTTTTCCCATTCACTGTATTTGGCAGACAAAAATGAAGGAAGGGAGGAGGGAGTGACTGCTTTCAGCCAATGCAAAAAATCTAGGAGGGTCAATGGTGTCTCAGGGGGAAAACTTTAATTGTGAGGAGTCATTTATTACTGATATTTTGTATTGTATATTTATGCAAGTGCAGAAAGATGTCCTGAGACGTGAATTAGTTATTCATTTCAGTAATTAGAGTTCCTTTCCCTGAAGGGAGAAACTCAGTATGATGAAGGAGAGTATATTTTGTCCTTATCCAATCCCTGGTGTTCTGTCTGCATACCAAGAGGCACACAGGTGCATGCTTGGTGCCTACAGTATCCAGAGAACTGACTGGTCAGCTCACAACAGTTTGCTGGCATTCAGACTAGTACTGGGATATATGGGGACAGGACCTGCATTGCCCCTCACAGGTAAGTCACCAACTTGTTAAAACATCAAGGAGAGTAACAAACCAAAATAGGTGGATACATAAGTGGTCAAAGACATAATAGAAGGGAGAAATCAATCTCTACTGAGGACCTACAAACTACTAAGTACATTGCATATGATAATTTATTTCATCCCATAATAACTCTTTATGGGAGTATTATTATCCCTATTTCACAAAATCTGAGGCCAGACAGCCTTTTGCCCAAGGCCACACAATCTAAAGAGAAGCAGCCACATTTGAATCCAGGTATAACCTACCACATCACTGCCCCTGCAACATAGAAACCCTATTAATCTCTAGAGACATAGTCTCTTCCTATACTCTTCCCAGTCTTAACTGGACTCTCCTTGCTTCACTGAACACTCCTTGATATACCTAGACTCTCCTTGCTTGGCTACTAGGGCACAGCCCTCTTCTGGTTTCCCTCCAGCTCTCTGGCCATTATTTCTGTCTCTGCTCATCCACCTCTCCCTGCCTAAGCAATGTTTCTAGGTCCTTCCCTTTATCCACTCCATACCTTTTATCTAAGGTGTCATCTAATGTAAGTTTGGAGAAACACATGTACACAGATTTACATATCCCACCCAGGCCTCTCTTATGCTTTCCCTGACAAGTAGGAATCAATTAGAAATATATGTATCTCCTCTTTGTAGCAATTGCCACAACAGCAGTTTTACATTTGTTCCTCTGACTGTTGGTTATTGGACTCCATAAATGGTAACTTCTGCATGGCTAAGAGTTTGTATTCTAAATACCTAGCATATCAGATGCTCAATAAACATCTTTGAATAGATATTAAATGCAGAGAGGGTCAAGCCAGTCTCTAGGAGTTACTGTACATGGTTTGGGGAGGGTCCCACTTGTTGGAGGAGATCATCAAGATGACATGATCTCCAGCTGACTCTCCATCTGGCTCCTCACCCCTCCCCCTGTGCTTGGAATATACAGTCTACCGTTCCCAAAGTAGGAACTATTTCAAGGACACAGCCCTAAGAGACCAATGTGCTGCTGAGACCATGACTGAGCCCAACTGAGGCCTCATATAAATTTTTAGGATTCAGGGTTGGGGGTGGAGATGAGTGTGGAGATATACTTGTCTTAAGGCCACCCAAAACAAGACTCCTATACAAGTTCCCTTGCTTTTTAAAACTGCCACCTACCAATATAGAGTGATCTGCCTCTTTCTTCTGTATCTCCTTGCCCTCTGCATATGCAGGCCAGTTTCTGATTTCACCTGAGAAGCTCTGAGTTTGTGAACCAACATCACCACATAGGACAAACTAAATATGCAGAATGAGAAACCACCAGGCACAGCTTTTTCTGCTAGTCTGCCTGGGGTTTTAAATAAGTTGAAAGGGGGGATATTTATACTTGAGGCTCTCAGCTGCCATGGATATGTATAGTTGCTACATACACATTGCTTCTAGTCCATCTTGCAGAGTAGTTAATCATTGAGACCTCCATCATGATAGCAGAAAACAAATACCACTGAACTACTTCTATTCCCCCAGTGCTTCTGCAGTCCAGGCTAGTCAGCAGTGATATCAGTATTGCAGAAATGACACATCAGCACATCCTGCTCATATCCTGGCGACTGCCAAGAAAATGGCACATGTCCAAAGTGGAAATTTTCCAAATAGTTAATTAGCAACGAACAAAAGTAATGACAGTCAGATAATTATGAGATTTTCCTTTTAAGTAAAAAAATGAATTCTAGCACACTAAATTATACACATTTCTTTCCAAATAATGTAGGAAGAAAAATTTTAAAAAGAAGAAGGCACTAATGTTAGGGATTTGGGGAAACATGCCATGTTGGTAGGAGTGTAAGCATACATATATATATATTTATATATAGTGTGTGTGTGTGTGTGTAAAATGTATTGTTTTAGTATGGCTACTGTGACAAATTACCACAAACTAAATGGTTCAAAACTGGAGAAATTTATTATTTATTATTACTAGTTTTATGGATCAGGAATCCAACACAGATCCCACTGAGATAGAAGCAAAAGTGTCAGCAAGGCTTTATTCCTTGCCTTTTCCATTTTCTTGCTTTTCCAGCTTTTAGGGGTCACCTACTTCCTTGGCTCATAGCTCCTTTACTCCATCTTCAAAGCCACATCCTTCTCATGCTGCCATCTCTCTGGTTCTTTCTTCCACTTTTTAAGTACCTTTGGGACTACATCAGGCCCACCTAGATAACCCAGTATTATTTCCCCTATTTTAAGGTCAACCTATTAGCGACCTTAATTCTATCTGCAATATTAATTCCCCTTTGTCATTGAAGGTAACATATTCTCAGGTTCCAGGGATTAGGATGTAGATCTCTTTGGGGGCCATTATTCTGCCTGCCACATATGGTTTCTTTGAAAACAATTTGTTAATGTTTATCAAAATCTTTAATTTGACTCAGCAATTCCACTGCTAGAAATGGGTACATATGGACATACTTTCACAAGCACACAAAAATATATGCTGCAGCATTATTTATAGTTTTAAAAATATACTAGTATCACCTAAATATCATTATGTAGGGTGAGATTAAATCAATAATGGTTAAGCCTCAAGATGGATTCTTTGCAGCATTGCACAAAGAATAAAGCAGAGCCATAAGTCTATCAATAAACACTCTCTGAAATATAGGACTAATGGTGGAAAGGGGCATGTAACAAAAGATGTATAAAGTATGCTGCCATTTGGAAGAGAGGAAATATAATACATAATTTATGCTTAAAATATTCCTGAAATGATATGCTAGAAACTGCTAATATGAGATGCCTCTAGGGAGGGGACCTAGAATAGAGAGACAGAGAAGAAACTTACTTTACATTGCATACCCATAGCTACTTTTTGAATATTTTTTGCCAAGTATCTGCATTATCTATCCAAAAAGGAAAAATAAAAAAGAACAAGTGAAAAACAAAACAATAGAAAAGATAAATCTGGGAAGATAGGGAGGACCAAAAACTGGCTTCTTCAGCTTTTTGAGCTGCATCCTATATATGTATGCCACACAAGTGTGTCTGCTACTTCTGCTTCCAGTGCAAGGTGTTTTTATCCTGTGATCCCTGGCTGTCTCGGGGGTCCCAAAGTCCCTGATGTTATAGCAACCTTTCCTGCATATGCATATGCCCATTTTTCTGGAAGGGGTAGAGTTAGTCAAATCAGGTTTTAGAAACATTATCCTGCCCTCTATTCTGCCATCAGTTCTCACCTAGAGCAAAAAGAAGGGCTACCCAGGTTTTCTGACAAGGAGGCAAGGAAGGATAGAGGGGCACTTCTCTCCATATTTGTGTCCACTTATTAGAGCCAGTTGTTTCTCCAAGGGGAGCTAAATTCAATAACAAGTGAAAAAAAAACCTTCAAAGTCCTGTTCCAGGTCATTATTGTATGTCCTCGACTGAGACTTACTTGTTAGGCCCTACAATCTTTTGAGCCAATGAATTATTTATTAGCAAAAGTGAGTAACACAAGCAGATTGTTTCCAAAATGAGTTGTTCATTAGCAACATACCTGTAAAGAAAAAAAGGAAAAAAACCCAAGTACACAAAACAATCTGGATTATTTAAGCCCTAACACATTTCCAGATTACTGATTTTTGTTAAGTGCAGACCCAGCCTCAAGATTGGGTCTATTTTTTAAGTGTGTTTTATATTTGCCCTTCTTCAAAGTCTTTCACTGAAATGTTCTCTAACAGTTTAGTTTTCTCACAATCTTATATAAAAGAGAAGTTTATCTTTTTTTTACAACGGATGTATGGGAAAGCTCAATGAACTATGCTGATCTCTTTCCTTGGTTCTCATAAACTGTAGAAAGATGAAGTTTATATATTTTTTTAAAATTAATGTTAAGATAATATTCTCTGGGGACACTTCATATTAGAGGGATCAGGCCATCACCTTCATATGAACCCACTGATAAATCTTAACATCACTAGAGGTGACATTGAAAGCTCCTATGAAACACTTTTGCGAAGAAAGTTTAAGTCAAATCTAATCAAGCCACTAGAGCTGCACTAATAGACTATCCACATACGGCTATCTACATTTAAATTAACTAAACCTAAACAGAATTTTTAATTCAGTTCCTTGCTCACACTAGTCACATTTAAAGTGCTCAATAGCCAAGCATGTGGCCAATGGCTACTGTATTGGATAGTGCATGTAGATTATTTCTATCATCACAGAAACTTCTATTGAATAGTGTTGCTCTGTTGCTCTCTAGAGCTAACTTCATTTAAGGGAAATATGGGGGATAGAGAAATATATTAATGACACAAGGAGGCAAAC